TGTAATACTCGGCGTTGCGTTTGAATTGTCGACTGTCTCGATTCAGAGACTTTCTCGAGATCCATCGGTCGACGCCATGAGAGCATGGGAGGCAGAGACTCCTCGTATTGAAGTAGTTTGTGATCAAGTTGAAAGATGGCTGTAAAATTCTCACTATGATTTGCTACTGGCGTCGCCTCGGCTAACTGGCCAAAATGGCCGCCTTGGTAGACCTGCCCCAGGATCTCCCGTAACAGACGGCATAGCCGATAGTATTCGGCGAAAAAGACAAGCCTAGACGGATCCTCTCGTGGGGGTCGGTCTTGTATCTCGATTTTGGTTTCAGCGGCATCGAGATTCGATGTTGGATGTTCCGGCAGGTGAAGTGTCATCGCAGGCCTTCCGAATGTCAAGCTGACGGTCCTATTCAGAAGCTTTAGAAATGATAAAACGTAGATAACATCATTCAGTGCGTGTCTGAGTTCAGCAAACAAGGGGCGTTGCTTAGCTTATGTAGAACATACATGTCTAAGATGACGCATCCCTGCCAGGTTCGTCTACTGATTTCGATCTCAAGCGGGCTCCTCTCCCTACGAGGTGTGCCTATATGCAGCCCAAGGCCCTGAGCGACTCGACATGCCATGCCGATAGCATTCCAACATCGACTTGGGTACCGCGTACTCTGGAGAAAAATAGTTATCAGCAAAAAAACTTGAACTAATCCGATATTGTTGATATCTAGTAGGTCCAGCCCGATGAAAGATTTAGCCTTTTGGAAAAATGTCGCAGTAGCTACGTCTTTCGCGGCAGATGGGATGTCGGAAAACGAAACGCCAATAGCAAACATGGTATTGAGGGCACAGTGGAATAGCATGGGATGGCCACCACCATCCGGCGAGCCGCCGAGGCCAATATTCGGGAAGCTGCCCGCGCTGCTTTGCTCTGTCTGCGGTTCCCACAGAGCACGATACGCCCGTTCAAAGGCGGATCGGTCAAAAACAGGGTATAGATAGTACACCTTCTCCCAGAACCGCCCCAGGAGATGATCGGCGAGCGATCGCGGAGGGAGGTTGAAGTTCTCGGAGTATGCATGGCACATGTAGTCTTGATCCCCTTTCATCTGCTTTTGTTTCTGGCTCTCGCGAGCAGGTGAGTCTTCTGTCGGAGTATTTCGGCGGTTTGCTGTATAGACTGGACTATTCGTAGTTTCTACGGCCTGTCGCATGAACGAAGCAGCCGAAGAGCTGCCATAGAACTGCTCTGAGTCCTTGAACTCAGCTGAGATGACACCTTCATGATCGAGAGTGCCCATAGCCGTAACTCCGTTCTCTGCTTCCACATCATCCAAGCATTGCGGCGAAACGATACCGGCCGCTCGCCGATCAGGCGACACCTCAGAAACATTATGTGCAGTTCCTCGGTAGCTATCCGCACCTGTCCCTATGATTGGGTCCGGGAGTTCACGGGTGACGCCGGTTCCAGACACCGCATGATCCTCACTGGCTACGGGCGGAACTGCGGCTCCGCTCTGCTGTATCGTTCGTTCTAGAAAGCGGATGCGATCATGTAGAGTTTGGATGTATCTATATAACATTAGTTCCTTTCACACCAAGTTTCCTCGAGATCACGCACGAATCCCGATTTGCTGTCCGCGCATTCTCTATCGTGTAAAGACAGTGCTCAAGGGAGAAGCCCCGACGTTGACATGCGGAGCAGACCGGCTTGCTTCCATCACAACGAATCTTCCGTTCCCGACATGGCTCGCAAGCTAAGGGTATCTTACGACGTCTTTGGCGCTCTTGAGCATTCCGCTGGCTCATGATTTTTCTTGTATAATACGACTTTAATCGTTCCACGTGCCATGGAAATCCTTAATGGGACGTCTTCATCTAGACACCAGAGCAATACGGAAATAGTCTTGTAAGTGTATGGTAAGCGGGGCGTCTGTCGGGATCATTCCGAGCTTTCGTAAGCAGGGCCCTAAAATGGAATGACTCGATTCAATTCATCTACCGCGCCGAGCTAGCCGTTTCCATAAGAACGACAAGCTTCCCTCGTACTACGCGCCCAAACCATCAGGGTAGTACACCTAACTCGTCATTGTCTAGAGACATCGTGCATCTGGATAAACGCGCATATTCCTCTACTCGGCTATCTAGTAGTGGGCTATTCTATATCTATGCTTTTGTGTTTGATACGAGAGGACCGCTGACAAAGATCCTACTAGCGCTGCGTAGGACGTACTTCCTTGGGAAGACGTGAGTCTTTACTATCCCGCAAACCGACTAGGCAGTTAACATTCCTCTTAAAAGTTGCCTCGAGGATGGAATAAGACTTGACTCACGACGACGCGCCAACCGCAGTTACCTAGAAAGACTCGCGCCCTTTGCAGGGGCACATCACCTGACAATCATATGGCAATGACGATAAATAGCGATTGTTCCTAGGACCTGCTAGGACTATTTTGATTGATCACTCGCAGTTGACCTCGGAATCGTATGATCGGAAACATCCCGAGTGCGACTGAGCGATACCCAGCACTCGGCTCCACCGTGACGCTCCCCCTTGCCCCAGACCAGGGCATGAGCGGGCGAGCAGGCTAGGTAGGTGTTTTAGATGCTCCGTTTACTAGGTAGGCTAGCCGATCGCCAACCAGCGGCCGAAAGTACACATAGTCTTGCCGCGGGGTGTCTTCGGCGGCTTTACCTACCTTAAGTCGTATGCGACCGCGGCTACTCCTTGTCGCGTAAAGGACGACTTCCCTTTAGACTTCAGATTGATTTCAAAATCTCGTCAATCCGACTAGGGCCAGGTCCATTGTATTTTATGATTTAAAATATTGTCTGCGTTCGAGATTGTTGAGAACAGTATTCTTGACGTCATTCTGGCTCAAGTCAGCAATTCTATGCTACGGACGCTATGGAAAGAGCCGAGAGCTGTTGCCATTCTCTCACAGCCTACGCCATGTCCGGTCTCACGAGATCGGCAATGCTGGCTAGTATCGCCATATTCTTGGCATTTATTTTCCAGCTTGTTTGGGCACCAACTGCCGTGCTTGAATACGTTGCCGAGGGCGCAACCAGCCTTTTATCCAAAAAATTAAGCACTTCTCGCATCGATACACAGTAATGAATCTAACCCAGTATAGAAGCATAGAGAGAGCACTGATCAAGGTTACAGCATCCATGTTCTGACGCCAAGTTTTATCAATGCGCTAGATGAGAGCGGCGGTGACCCCGCGGGGTGGGCTACTCCCAGCTGGACACTTGAGGAATGTGTGCGTTTCTGCGACACTATTGGGGCATCTTTCTCGGTTCTATCCGTCACAGCTCCCGGGCCTGCCATCCTCGGACCTACTGAGAGTGGCAGAAAGCTTGCAAGGGCTCTAAACGAAGAGGTTTGGGACGTGTGTCAACAGCGACCGGGACGATTCGGCTTTTTCGCGAGTCTGCCTGATTTTAACGACATTGAAGGGACACTTGAAGAGATAAGACATATCTTTGAGGTTGAGAAGAAGGCCAATGGAGTCGTGGTCATGTCGTCTTACGGGGATAGGCTAGTTGGCGACGATGCGTTCAGACCTATCTGGAAGGAATTGAACAAATACTCAGCGCTTGTCTTTCTGCATCCTGGTCACATAAACGTCACTCCCGAGAAGATCGGCGGGTTTCTTCCACAGCCCGTCATTGACTATCCGCTCGCAACTACACGAGCAGCAATGTCCCTACTCGTATCAGGTATCATGTCGGAATGTACCAACATTGAGGTCATACTGAGCCATGCCGGCGGCGCTTTTCCAATGCTCGCACACCGTGGCATAGGGGCTCTTTTGGAGCCGTTCCTTGCTCGGCAGTCCAATGCTAGTATGTTACAAGCGTATGTAAAAAAGCCATGGTATAAACAAGAACCAATGCTTATCAGAGAACAGGAGATCGGCAGCCAGTCGCTTCTGGTACGACCTTGCGATTTCTACTAGCGAGGCACAGCTCAAGGCTCTCCTTGCGACAGCTTCGTCATCAAATATTGTCTACGGCAGTGACTTCCCATACGCGCCAAGACTGGGTATCTATAGTGGCTTATTGCAATATAGCAGGTTCACTAGTAGTCCCGAGGGTCGGAAGATTGGCCCCTCTCAGCTACATAAGAATGCAAAGCGTCTACTAAAGAAACATGCGCCTGAGCAAGGCTTTCTGCCTCAATCCGATGGCGCTGAACCTGAGCATTATGAGCCGGAATTTGGATTGGAAGATAACGACGACGCCGAACGAGCAAGGGAGCAACTACAACATCCTTGATGTTACTAAACAATTTGACCCGAGCTGCGAAAGGATGCATTTTCAATTGATTGTATTAGGAGTATGAAATAAAACGCACAATTAGCTAACTACAGGTTACAAGCTACCTAGGGAGCGCAGTACACAGAGAAAGGTTACGTATAGCTTAGGGACCCCCGGCGGCTGATTAATTGAGTGATAGTGCTTATCGCTATAAACTATGTGATATTTCGGTCAAGCTCCTGAAAGAGGTAAAACTTAAAATCATGAAAGTTTTATAATTAGCTCTAGATCTACTTGTTCCATGACTTCCGGGCCTCGCACGCTTTAGTTGAACTAGGTGTACTACTATATATCTTGATTTGATAGCTGTCCACGTCTTTGTTGTAATATATCTCTTTCCACTGTGTGATGATGTGCGTGCACGCTGATAAAGCCCTGAAAACACGTTGGTAACTTGACAACTATGACAACGTCCCCAAGCCCTTGCTTTTATAAAAACGGGATTATATATATTCATCCTCGAGTTATAATTCCTTTTATCAATTCCGAATCATCACTGGTTCTTCAACGTGCCCATCTTAGATCCATTTTGTTTGAATTTGTCTTGCAAACCGTTTTGCGTATAGTTCACAAATCATGCGTCAAAGCTAGAACCCCACTTCCGTTTTTCCTCTTGACGCACTTCGTAAAAAAGTAAGCATACTTTCAAGTGAATGGGAGGGAAATTAAAAAACAAAAAATTATCTCCCCGGGAAAGGCTCGAACTTTCAACCTCCTGATTAACTGTAACTGCTTGTTACCAAGTAATTTAACAGTCAGACGCGCTAGCCAATTGCGCCACCGAGGATGATGGATGATTGGTTGCTGAAGATCAGAGCGGAAAGAATCCATAATAGACTTACTCGGGTTGATTCCGAGTCCCCACCCCACAGATTGATATAGGAATGACAAGATTAAGGCCTGATTAGTATACGAGATAGATGCGCATATGTTGTTCTGCTCGAGAGGATGGAGGCTTGCAGTACCCGAGGAGTGATGAATGACAGTCCGCCACTACGACTAGCGCGCAGTTAGGCCAAGATCTCGTCATTTTAAAGATTGACCCTAAATTATGTCTATAGCTGCTGATTCAATTCGAGTCGCCTTTCCATACATTGTGTCACCTACGTTTGTTTATCAATAATGTGAGAAGATGCTCCCGTGTAACTCGATGGGGTTACTAGATCTGAGCTAATGATCCACTGTATTTCACTGTATTCGAATGAGTAGCGGTGTTGGAACGGATTATCCCGAGTCGATCCCGCAGAAACTGACCCGTAGTAGGGTGTGGTTCTTGCTAGCGAATGGTGGATGAGCCGTGTCAGTAAGTACCTCTATATGAAGCATGTGATTTAAGTGAATTTCTATCTATGATATGGTGCTGAATATCTATACATGAGTCTAACTTTGGTTGTAAATGCGAGCAATTAACCTCTGATGGAAAAAATGACGCCGTTAATACTCCACGAGTATTAATGGTATATATATGCTCCACACCTCCACGACATTTGAATCTATAAGCGATAATCAAAGTGAACCTCCCCAAAAAGACTAACAAAAAAACAAATCCAATGGAATCTCCAATATGCGACGGGATGGCCGCGGGTATCTTGAACGCCTTAGCCGGAAAATGCTCCTGATCTTCTATAGTATGTCCGTATCCGGGTTCGCCGAAACTCCAGTTATATGCTCGTTAGCAGGACGTGAAATGTCAGATGCCACTTACTCCATCGGCGGGCTGCTGTTCTCCACGATCCAGGGGTGCACAAGAGCGGCCTCAGGGGATAGTCGCTCTGATGGCTCCATGGCGAGCAACTGCACAATGCATTAGCCAGGCTGAAGAAAAGGGGCAATGTAGGGATTAAGGGGAGGAAAAGAGACGTTTCTCTTTCGTTTTGCACATATGTGCGAGTATAGAAAATGTGTTAGTGGGGGGTTGGAAAGGGTAGTTCTTACGGAATCAATGAAGTTCTCTGCGTGTGGGGATATGGATTCCGGTAAGAGGTCCATATCGCGCTCGAGAATCCTCTCAGGCGTCGAGATCCAGGAGTAAGACCGGAATGGGGAATGGCCGACTAAAAGCTCATAAGCCAATACGCCGAGCGCCCACGAATCGATAGCATTCGTGTAACTAGGAGAATCGGGTTGCAGCATCTCGGGAGCGTAATACTCCGGGGTACCGCAGACTGAGGTTTCCCTATTGTCCGGAGAAAGGATGCTGAGACCAAAGTCAGCTAGCTTCACCTCACCGTTGAGGCTTAGGAGGATGTTCTCGAGCTTGATGTCGCGGTGCATGATATTCTTGCTATGCATGTGAGCCAAGGCGGACGCAACTTGGGCGATGCATGCTGCCGCGTGTTGTTCGGAGAACCGCGTCTCCCGTCGCAGGGCATCGCACAAATCTCCTCCGGCGGCGTACTCAAGGATTATGTAGATGCAAGATGAGTCTTCGAACCAGGCGTAGAGTTCGACGATCCCGGGATGCTTGAGGCTGCGTTGGATCTCAATCTCCCGCATGACCGCCGCTCGCGGGAGGGCGTCCTTGCTGATCGATTTTATCGCGCAGCTGTAACCCGACTGCCGGTGCCGAGCGACACAAACGCGGCCGAATGAGCCCTCGCCCAGGGTCCGGCCGATCTCAAAGAGGCCGAGGCAAAGCTCTTGCGGGGGCGGTGTTGTGGGACTCAGGCGCCGCTCGTTGATTGGCGGGCGAGTGTTAATTATTGCCATTGTGTGAGAAAGAATGCGACAAGGAATATTGATCTGCAAGAGACAGTGCGGGTCGGTTCCACCTTGGGAGTGGAGCGTGGAGCGAAATTGGAGAGAAAGTGGATGTGGTGGAGTGGAGAGAGAGGAGGATGTGGATATGGAGGCGAAAACAAAACAATTACTACCTACAAGCCAGAATACTGATGTTCAAAGTAAACATGCCAACCAGGTATCTACTATGAATGTAAATAGGGCGGTTGCCTCTACAACGGGCACCCCACAAAGCGAAGTTTATATTAAGATTTAGAGTTTACACTAGGAATCTCTGCGTCGTGCCAGCGTGCTAGAGACAGTGTATAAGCATAACCTTCCCCCTGAATGCTATGTCATTTACCTCCATCTCTTCCACGGCATCAATATTCCCCCTAGCTATCCAACGGTTTAGGTCATAGTTGAACTCTAATTCCTACTCCCAGAGGGACCTATTGGTTCAGAGACTGGGGTTAGGTTCGCATTCCGTAACCTCGTGCTAGACCTAGCTTTCGGTCGTTCTATCTATCTAGGTACCGAGGTAAGCTGCATAGGGCGCACATGCTCCATGAGATGAGGGGTTCTAATAACTTCAAGCATCAAGCCTGTGTTTCTCCTTCTGCCCTTCTCACGATGGATCGTACACATAGATCTATGTATACGCTATGAACATTGCCTTTATCTAGTCTTCAACAGTTTTTACACGATTACGTATTAGTCTTTTCATGATATCATATAGCTTTCCCTATACAGCCAATATGTTATTTAGTCTCTGTTTTGGGGATTTTCGAGTCTATGTCTATGGTAGTTGTTACATAGCTACCCAACAACCGAATCCACATGTAACATTGAGTCAGCCATATGCAGGGTCGACAGACAGTATTAGCTTTCCTCGGCAGCTTTCCGAGCCCTAGGAAGCTAATGCCGGCTGTTGATACATGTAGAGAGGTAGAGATGTGGACGTCTAACGTGTCTGCTCCCCGCACTACTAGTATACTTATAACTCTAGCCAATAGGATGTCGAGGGCCCTCTGCAGAACCAGAACCTATTTCACACTAGAATCTTAGGTATCATTACAGTGGGTTCGAAATGAGGGGTTCCGTGTTAACTATGTAGATCTTCTGAACTAGCTGTGGCCGCCTCATGCCTTACGCCTTACGTTCACAATTCAGTATTCCGGGCATGGAGTAGACTGAACTACTAGCTGCGCTGTGTGGTGCTGTACGTACTGTACAGTAGTATGCCATACTACGTTGTGCTATGTTACCTGATGCTGCCGATGCATAGTGGCTCTGCCAAGCTGTGTCTGCCACTTATGTCTCAGTAATTGGCCCTTCTCTCTCGTATTAATCATCGTTTGCATCCGGCCAATGTTCAGGTATCGGATGACACAACAAGGCTTAGCTTATTGGTGTATTCTAGGTCGACCTAGAAAAGCAAGATGAGATCATGGTGCATAACAGTATAGTAACATTTCGAGCGAGGGGCAAACCTTATTTGCTTGCTCAATGTTTCTCCTGCTTGTCTGTGTAATTTGGCATGTCCCTATGCTATGCCACGCTCCTCGTCTGACGAACGAAACTGTCTCGCAAGTGCCAGATTGATATAAATATCGGCTCTGCGACCTCACGAGGATTACTCTATCCATCATCGACTGTCTCTTCATTCTTGTCTCAAATCCAATCACATTTCTCACGGGACTTTCAACAAGATGTATTTCACTCAGAAATTTGGTTTAGTCATCACGTGTCTAGCCCTGACTGGCATGGCAAGCCCAGTTCATTCCTCTTCTATAAGGGCGCAGCCAGACACCGGTAACCCAAACATCTTCGTCCAGCCTACAATGTACCAAGTGTTTCCCTTTGAGGCCAGCAAGGCAGCGCCAACGGTTTCACAACTAGAAGTTCTACGAACAGACGACACCTCCGCTCTTGAAAACATTGCTGTGTTCGAAGGAATCCCGGCCGATGCGAAAACCTGCGTGCTCGGCTGGGTCCAGGCGGCGAAGGACGAGCGTACTGATTTCGTCGTTAAGGGGAATGGGCTGCTGGCCGCGCAGCAGTTGTCACGACTTCCCGACGGAGATGTGAGCTGGGAGACCATCACACCCATCGCAGAAGAAGCGGTCGAGCAGGGCAGGCCGCTGCTTCATCCCGACACGACATCCTGGCCCGACATCGAGACCGCTGAGAGCCACATCGCCGGCTACGTGGACTGTGCCGAGACGATCTACTTGAAGATTCAAGTTGATGATCGCGACCACGATGGTTCTGTGTATCTGGGCCAAGACGCCAAGAACGGCCTTACTCTGACCGTCCATTGAAAGGTAGAGCTACCTGGCTGAGGGACATGGGGACGCGATCAGACATATTCCCAGGCGAATATGCCGTATAATAAAATTTCATATTCCAGATAGTAATAAAATAATACGATACGCACCTAGCTTCTATGGTGGTTGAGACAGAGATGACTTCTGTGACGTTTCATGCAGCTGGCGACTTGCAGCCTTACTAATGCTAAGTTAGTTCATCAACCTGGATACCGCCAAAAAGGAAGATAATGGTCAGTATGGGGGTCGAACCCATGACCTTCGCATTACTATGTACAGATGGCTCTGTATTAGTACCTGTGACGGATTAGTATTGATACATTAGGTAATTGTGCGTGAGGCGCGGGGAAGACATACGACGCTCTAACCAACTGAGCTAACCGACCAATTGTGGTGGATGTTGAGATTTTTGGTACTATGAGGTAGCTGAATGACAGTGTCTAGCGAGGAGACCAGCGTTCTCACTATCTAGCATATTCCAAACCTATTGATCATACTAACCCCAAAAATAGTCCAATAGTATATAGCTGCGTCTTAACGATACCTGAAGCCACCATAACAGAGTTTCGGCGGTAGTTATAGATGACATAGACAGTATCTCTAGCCGAGGCGTTAGTTGGAGTTAGAGTTTCACCCCAACTAAGTCTAGCGTCTAGAAAGATACAGTGTACCTAGCTTCAGAGATGTCCTTGTTGCATCTCTATATCTACATTGAGTCTCAATGCTATATTGCCGAAGC